TCACAAAAATAATATTCAGGGCCTACCTTGGCCTCCCACCCTCAACCAGTATATATACAAATACTGTTTCTTGGAATTTCTCTCACTTGATACAGCTATCGTGCTGTGACGGTTCCACCTGAAGACGGAAGCTTGTGTTGCCTCCGAAACGTCGTGATTTTTATTTTATTTTTATTTTACTTTTATTCATTTAAATTTTTTACCTACGTGACTTTACCGAAAAAACCTAAGAATATGAATCCTTGCAGTCACGAAAGCTTCAAATGTAGGATTATGCTTGTGTTGCGGCGCAATGTACGACTCCGTGGCAGCTTCCGTTAGGGGCTCACGCCAAGTTTGTTAAGGGCTTACGCCGAACCATAACCCCCCTAGCCTCTAACTCCCCATGGGACAGGGGACTGTGATCCCTACAACCCCGGCTAACTCGGCTGTCCTCCCTGCCCCGGACTACCTCAACCTCGGCCGGTCGGGAGGAGTAGCCTCCACTAGCCTCGTGTGAGGATCAACTACCCCGAGTCCCCACTCCTACCCCCGACGAACCCCGGTTACATCCCGGGTCCCCCTTTAAATACCCCCCCCCCTCCGGGGGCATGACGTCACCGTGCCCTGCGTCACTGCCTGACGTCACGTTCTGCGACGCCACTCTCTCCGAGGGCAGAGGCGTGACGTCACCCACTACTCCTCTACACTTGCATTGTTTTTGAAGCCGATTGGCCTACACCAGAGACGGCCTTCTTTAGGGCCGAGTCTCATCAGTGTCGCACCAGGCAATGCCAGAAGGTGAGCAGTACAAGGACAATGCGCGATCATAGCATTTCTAACTCGGGGTGAGCCGCTACATAATGGGACCCTTGCTCTACTTTGATACTGGCAAAAGGTCCCATTTTATATTCATAAACTTACGGGACAACGGCTGTGAAAGAGAGCCTCGGCTCCATCGGATTCTATATCCGAAAGTAACGTACGTGACTTTTCCGAAAGAACCAAAGAGTGTGGATTCCTGCAGTCACGAAAGCTTCAAATAAATATCCTGATTCTGATGTTGCAATGTGGGGGGGGGGGGGGGTGTAAAGCGGAGCATGCGACAACGCCATGAGATGGCCTAACGCAGGGCCTGAACAAAGACTGAGGGCGCACGAGTGTGGGTAGCATCGTCTAGAAGCATCATCCAGTGCCTCCTTGTGTCATGATGATGATAATGATGATGACGACGACGACGATGACGACAACTATGACAATGACGACGATGATGACAATTGTAAATGTTGTGGATTTGCTCTCCAACACACCGGTGTGCTGTACTAGTAACGAATTGGCACGTTCTGTTTACGTGGCACTAAACTTTACTAATAGGCTATGTCGGGTGGTGGCGGGCTTAACGACACATTTATATTTTTATTCGATCCAACCCAAAAAAACCTCTTATAGGTGATATTGGTCCATCCGATCCGTCCGATGCTCGTGCCTTGCGTGAGGGGGCAACGCTGTGTCCCCCGTACAGATGGGAACGGATGGCGATTCAGTCGACTGCCTGAAGCGCCTTGCTGGCAGTGAGTGAGATGGAACAGATGGAGATTGGTCCACACACGGGTAGAGGGGGAGTGAGATTGAACAGACGGAGATTAGTCCACACATGAGTATAGAGTGAGTGAGATGGAACAGATGGAGATTTGTCCACACACGGGTAGAAGGGAGTTAGATGGAACAGATGGAGATTAGTCCACACACGGGTAGAGAGTGAGTGAGATGGAACAGATGTAGATTAGTCCACCCATAGGTAGAAGGGAGTGAGATGGAACAGAGGGAGATTAGTCCACTTACGGGTAGAAGGGAGTGAGATGGAACAGATGGAGATTAGTCCACACACGGGTAGAGAGTGAGTGAGATGGAACAGATGTAGATTAGTCCAGCCATGGGTAGAAGGGAGTGAGATGGAACAGATGGAGATTAGTCCACAAACGGGTAGAGAGGGAGTGAGATGGAACAGATGGAGATTAGTCCACACACGGGTAGAGAGTGAGTGAGATGGAACAGATGTAGATTAGTCCAGCCATGGGTAGAAGGGAGTGAGATGGAACAGATGGAGATTAGTCCACAAACGGGTAGAGAGGGAGTGAGATGGAACAGATGGAGATTAGTCCACACACGGGTAGAGAGTGAGATGGGGAGAGTTTGCTTGTGGGTTGGGGTTCATCACCACCATGGGCACGTGATCGCCGTGTAATGACTACCGGACACGGTGATCTACAACATCCCTGTGTGAGTCTGAGTCTCTTTGCGAGACTGGCTCTCAGTGTAAATCTATACATATCTGTGAGTTTATGGGTCCCTATGCAAGTCTATGGCACTCACTGTGATTCTAAATAGCTCTGTGCGAGTCTATGGGTCTCTTTGCTAGTCTCTGGCTCTCAGTGTGAATCTATACATCTCTGTGCGAGTCTCTGGGTATACACAAAACTATGCTTACGTTACCAGGTAAGGCCCCATCTGAGCTCCGCAGATGGGTACATCCCGGCAGCGACCCAACGTACAGTATCGTACCTTGTACGCTGCTGCGTTTGCCTGCCGCGCGAAATTAAAAATATTTTAACAATTTTGTCGTATCGCTATCGCCGTCGTAAGACCTAAATATCGTAAGTCAGAGCATCGTAACTCGGGGACTACCTGTCTTCACGAGAGGCATCGGGGGTCGGGATCGAGCGCCCACCTGGCAAGGGAGTTAACATCTCGCGTGCATTCCATGGACTGCGAGTGAAGATTGTGTAGTGGGGGGGGTGGAGTGGTGGCGCAGCGGTTAGCGCCGCACTGCGCTACCCGGCCTCATTTTCGATTCATGCTCGCGGCCAGCGGTAAATATTCGAACCGGTCCCGGGCCTCCTCTAGGTCGACTCAGCCGTAAATGAGTACCAGTTGCGGTGTGTTGGCCACTCGCTCCCCTCATGTGCCGTGCTGGCCTTAATAGGTGCTGCTCGCGAACAGCACTGCCCATAGACTCAACACTGCCCCATAGACTCAACACTGCCCCATAGACTCAACACTGCCCATAGACTCAACACTGCCCCATAGACTCAAGACTGCCCATAGACTCAACACTCCCCATAGACTCAACACTGCCCCATAGACTCAACACTGCCCCATAGACTCAACACTGTCCCATAAACTCAACACTGCCCCATAGACTCAACACTGCCCCATAGACTCAACACTGCCCCATAGACTCAACACTGCCCCATAAACTCAACACTGCCCCATAGACTCAACACTGCCCACAGACTCAACACTGCCCATAAACTCAACACTGCCCCATAGACTCAACACTGCCCACAGACTCAACACTGCCCATAGACTCAACACTGCTCATAGACTCAACACTGCACCATAGACTCAACACTGCCCATAATAGACTCAACACTGCCCCATAGACTCAACACTGCCCATAGACTCAACACTGCCCCACAGACTCAACACTGCCCATAGACTCAACACTGCCTCATATACTCAATACTGCACCATAGACTCAACACTGCCCATAGACTCAACACTGCACCATAGACTCAACACTGCCCATAGGCTCAACACTGCATCATAGACTCAACACTGCCCATAGACTCAACACTGCCCATCGACTCAACACTGTCCATCGACTCAACACTGCCCCATAGACTCACCACTGCCCCATAGACTCAACACTGCCCCATAGACTCAACACTGCCCCATAGACTCAACACTGCCCCATAGACTCAACACTGCCCCATAGACTCAACACTGCCCCATAGACTCAACACTGCCCCATAGACTCAACACTGCCCCATAGACTCAACACTGCCCCATAGACTCAACACTGCCCCATAGACTCAACACTGCCCATAGAAACCTCATTTTCCAGTAAAAAATATGATAATTGTTTTTTTTATCCTTTTATCTGGCAACAAAACGGACACCTTTTTTACAAGGAGTCATGTTTGCATAGACCACAATACCTGCAGTCATAATGCAAACAAAAAACATAACTCTGATCATTTATGCACTGTCCTTGAAGTTGATTGGTCCACACCCGAGACAGCTTTACTTAGAGCCTAGTCTCACATGGTGTTGGATCAGATGACGCCAAAAGGCGCACAACTCGGACAATGCACCATCAGAGTATGAGAGCTCGGGGTAAGCATTTACACCATTGGAACCTCATTTGCCAGTAAAAAATATGATAATTGCATACATTATCAGAGTTATTTTTTTTGTTTGCATTATGACTGCAGGTATTGTGGTCTATGTAAACATGACTCCTTGTAAAAAAAAGGTGTCAGTTTTGTTGCCAGATAAAAGGGTAAAAAAACAATTATCACTGCCCATAGACTCAACACTGCCCCATAAACGCAACACTGCCCATAGACTCTACACTGCCCAAAGACTCAACGCTACCCCATAGACTCAGCACTGCCCCAAAGACTCAACACTGCCCATAGACTCTCAACACTGCACAAATACTCGGCACTGTCCATAGACTCACCTTGAGCTAAGGCTTGAGCGCCGTATCGACTAAGCACAATACGTAAGATAAGACTGCGATCGTTATGGGCGGGGAGGCGGTGTGTGTGGAGCCAGATGGGCCTTCTTCCCAGGGCGGTTGGGAGCAATCGATGCCGGGGCAACGGCGTTGTCGTAAATCGGCGGTGGCGATGCAAACGTTCGTCAACAGTGCGCTCTATTTTAATCCACTTTACGTTCCTCTCCCGCCCTTCTGCATCTCTCCCCACGTCTCCACCCCCCCACCGCATCTCTCCCCCCCCCCCCCGTCTCCTTCTGCGTCTCCCTCCGCATCTCTCCCCCGCATCTACCCCTATCTCCCTTTCTACCCCCTTGTCTCCCCCTGCATCTCCCCACCCTCCACGGCTACCCACGTCTACCCCCGTGTCTCCCCCTGCATCTCCTACGCCCCTTGTGTCTCCCCCTGCATCTCCATTTCTCCCTCTGTCACCCACCCCCCACCCCCGTCTTTTCAGTGAGAGCCGGCGGGATGCGGATCGTGCAGAAGCACCACCCTGGGGCCCCCGCGGCACCCGTCCCCAGCAAGCCGGACGAGCACGGCGAGGAGGAGGAGGAGGAAGAGGAGACGCCCGCCCCGTACGGTCACAGCACGACCACCACAGCACCACCACCCGCACCGCCAGTGCCGTGTCTCGCATTCGCCACCACCAATGAACATTGCCTCCCTCCAGGCCTGCCTCTAGTTTTGCCTCTAGGCCTGCCTTTAGCCCTGCCTCTTGGCCTGCATCTTGGCCTGCATCTAGGCCTGCCTCTTGGCCTGCATCTAGGCCTGCACCTAGGCTTGCATCTTGGCCTGCATCTTGGCCTGCATCTAGGCCTGCATCTAGGCCTGCATCTAGGCCTGACTTCTAGGCCTGCCTCTAACCCTGCCTCTAGGCCTGGGTCTAGCTCTGTCTCTAGGCCTGGGCCTGCATCTAGGCCTGCATCTAGGCCTGCCTCTAGGCCTGCCTCTAGCCCTGCCTCTTGGCCTGCATCTAGGCCTGCATCTAGGCCTGCATCTAGGCCTGCATCTAGGCCTGCATCTAGACCTGCATCTAGGCCTGCCTCTAGGCCTGACTAGGCACTTATACCATTACCTTGTCCACTACCACCACCATCACCAACAACCACAATCGCCATTTGCCACTAAGTGGCGGTAACGTCACCAAGGCGCTTGTGCCAAGCTAGGTGCACTTTGAGACCACGTGACGTGTCGAAGGCCCACTGGCAGGAGGTCACGTGACAGACCCAGGTGCCATGGCTTGACTGCTGTACCAGGCTAGGTGCAGGACGAGGTCACAGGACAGTCCCATTTGCCATAGGTTAACTGGTGTGCCAGGCTAGGCACAGGAGGAGGTCCGGAACAGACCCAGGTGACATGGGCTGACTGCTGTGTCAGGCTATGTGCAGCAGGAGGTCACAGGACAGACCCAGGTGCCATGGGTTGACCGACTGAGATGACTGGCAGATGTGCCACCTGTGCCCCCTAAATATCATCACAACCATGACCAGCACTCCCGGTGCCGCGTCTCACCCCTGCCGTGCTTATTGTCCCTCGTTTCAGGCCGGCGCCCAAGCCACCAGTCGTCGTCGTGTCCGGAGCCATCGCCAGGGTGAGTCTCAATTTCTCCACGTCTCCCCGACACAAAGACAGAGACCCCTCCCGCCCGTGTAGCCTCCTCCAGCAGGCTGTCAGGGCAAGTGCCTTTGGCAGTGAGTAGCAGCGCCTATGGAAGTCTGCCGGCACTGTGACGCACAAAGGGGGTGGGTGGCCAGCACCACGCCCGTTCGGCTTTGTCTCTCCAAGCGATGATGTTTACTCCACACCACCGCACCACGTACTCATTTGAGACCGAGTCGACCTAGGGGAGGCCCAGGACCGATTTGAATAATCGCCACTGGTGGTGGCCGTGAGCGGGAATCGAATTCTCGTTGCCGGGTTCGTGGCGCAGCGCGTTGACCACCGTATAGCCTCAACAGACTTTTGGGGAAAATGCTGTTAGTGAGTAGCACCTATGAAGGCCGGCACTGTGTGCCCCTGCGTGAGTCTCTGAGTCTCTAGATGTCTCTAAGCGAGTCTGTGGGTCCGTGTGAGTCTGTCGGTGTCTGTGTTAGTCTGAGTCTCCCTGTGAATTTGTGTCTGTGTGCGAGTCTGTGGGTATCTGTGTGACTCTGTGGGCGTCTTGAGCGAGTCTCTGTGCGAGTATCTCTGTGTGTGTGGCCTCAGGGGGATAAGGACTTCCCCTTGGGCTATGTGAGTCTCTGCGTGAGTCTCTGCGTGAGTCTCTGCGAGTCCCTGTGCGAGTCCTCTGTCTCTGTGTCTCTGTCTTTGTGTCTCTATCTTTGTGTATTTATCTGTGTGTATCTGTGTGTGCATGTGGTCTCAGGGGGATAAGGACTTCCCCCCAGAGGCTGTGAAAGTCGCTCACGAGAAGCCACAGCCCAAAGTGGAGCGCAACTGGGCAGCTCCTCACGTCAACGCACACATCCAGCAGCCTCGCAAGTGAAGGGCTCGCCACACACAAACACTGGCATTCACACACACACTGGCATACACACACACACTGACACACACACTGACATACACACACACAAACTGACATACACACACACACACTGACATACACAAACACTGACATACACAAACACTGACATACACAAACACTGACATACACACACACTGACATACATACACACACTGACACACACACTGACATACACACACATGGCCGCACACACACTGATACATAGATACATAGAGACATGTTGAGATGCACACACACACGCCCCACATACACACATACACTCGACCGCACACACACGGATACATAGAGACACACAGATGTGGACACTCGACCATACAAAGACCCCCGCATAGCCTTAACAGACTGTTGGGGGCAAGTGCTATCGGTGCTGGCACAACGCACTTACGCACGTACATACACAATCTTACACACACACACCTACCTTTACACACATACATGCAAGTACCTTTACACAGACACGCTTACCTACACATATACCGTTACACACACACATGCGTACTTTTACACACGCACATACGTACCGTTACACGAACACACGTACCGTTACACACGCACACACATATACCTACACACAGGCGTGCGCCCACGCTCTTTAACGGTTGCCTCCTGGCCTCCGTCACCGCCAGGGAGGCGTGGGGCAGTCTTTGGTTTAGCGACAGAAATTCCACGTCGTGCCCCCGGAAATATTATTTCCACCCCCCTCCCCCTCTACTTTTCTATCGCTCTCTTAATTCACCTTCCGAGTTCTGACGGAATACAGACTTTTTTTTACGTTTTCCATAACAGAGCTTTTATTTTTTGGTTGGGTTAGGTTGCGTAAATACAAATGTTGTGTCGTCAAACCCGCCACCACCCGACATGGCCAATTAGTAAATAGGTTTTGTCACGTGAACAGAACGTGCCTATTCTTTACTCGTACAGCACTAGTGTATAGTGTCGAGTATAATGTAGTATGTAGTGTATAGTAGTATAGTATACTAGTACAGAACTAGTGTATAGTGTCGAGTATAATGTAGTGTATAGTAGTATTGTGTACTATACTAGTACAGCACTAGTGGATTTACAATTTTACGTTTTGCCAGTAATCACAACAACCAGCATCATCAGGCAACAGCCAGATGTTGTGGATTTACTCTCCAACACACAACCGGTGTGCTGTACTAGTATACTACGCAACTTTACACGACACTACTATACACTTCACTCCACACTACACAACTATACACGGCACTCCACTCTACACTGCTATACACTACACTACGATACACTACACTACTATGCACTACACTCCACACTACACTACTTTATACCACACTGCTATACACCACACTGCTATACACTACACTACTATTTCACTAGTGCTGTAATAGTAACGAATTGGCAGGTCCTGTTTACGTGACAAACCCCTTACCGATTCGCTGTGGTCAGGTGGTGGTGGTGGTGGCGGGTTTAACGCTAACATTTGTATCTATGCGATGTAACCTAAAACACCTCTGTCATGGATGATATTGGGCGCAAAACCCTGCTGCATTCTGAAACAGATTTGTTTCTCTTCAGCCGCTCGGCGCCAAGTTGCGCGCCGGTTTATAGTCGTAGTGACGCCTCATAAATGCCGGCGTGAAGTTTGTATTTCTAAAGTTTTTGTTCGTTCTTGCGCTGACGACAATAATGATGATGGCGATGATAAGTGCTTTACGCTCTACGCTTTACTTGAACAATTATTCGCGTCTTTTTTTGCGCAATGTCAACACGCGAAGAACAGCCTGTTGCTGTTGTTGAATCTTAATCCAATCTCAATTCCCCCCCCCCCCCCCCCCGAGTCTCAACGACGCAGACTCCCAGAGTCTCAATGCAGATTGAGACCCGGTCTCCCAAAGTCTCAACGCAGACTGAGTCTCGGCAGTAGCCGTGTCCCGTGTCCCCCGTGTCCCCAAGCGAGCGCTGCCCCGAGGTGTAATTGGCCATCCCCCACCCTTCGGCTTTGTTCTTCACCCAAAGACGTCGCCGGGCTCATTGAGTCTCCACCGTCGGTCCAAGGGAGGGGGTGAAACGTCCGACACTAAATGAGCGACATATTTTTGTCCGTGCACACACACAACGCACATGCACCAACGCAGACCAGCGGCGGAGTTCAGTTCCACGGGTTTGGAACTGCAGTGCATCTGCGGTGGTGGTGGGGGTGATCGTCGTCGTTGTTCTGTGTTCTCTTCGTCGGTGCGATCGTAGAGAGAGGTGGCGGGGGGTGGTGCGGGTGGGTGGCCTTTTTACTGCGAACGTGGGGATGTCGAGCGAGAGAGGGCGCTCTGTAAATCGGGGACGGTGGACGACGAAGGGGGGTGGGGGGGGGGGAGTGAGGATCGCTCAGGGGGGGGGGGGCGTGGGGGGAGATGCTTTTCGGCATTGGTTGCGTGTCAAAACCGATCCTTTAATTTGTTTTACACCCCCCCGCCCCCGAGCTCCGATTTAACCCTTAACACTAAACGCCCAAATCGCAATGGAGGTCGTAGATGATCTGTTTTTTTTTGAGGCCGTGATGTCATTTCATTTTAATGCGAAACTTCCCACCGGGGACTCGTAACATGGGCTCCCCCCCCGTCCCCCCCCCCCGGTCTCCGAGCGATCGTCCAAACGGATCGACCCGAAGCCGCCCGTCGCTCCGTCGTCTCTTCTCGGCAACTCGGCCCATGGCGCGTTCGCGAACCGCCGCGTGCGCCTCCTTACCCCCCCCTCTCCCTGGATTCTGGCGCCGGTGAGAGGCCGTTGACATTTGTGACACCGTGGATTTCACAGCAAGCGCCGATGGCTCGGGCCGTTCGAGATTGAGGGTGGAGTTGGGAAGGGACCACGGCACTCGAGGGCTCGCAGCGGCCGTGTGCGTTCGCGCCCAGAGGGCTTTGAGAGGGCTTTGAGAGGTCGTGACCCCCGCCTCCCCCTTCCCCCCCCCCCGCCTCCCCCGCAGTCTGTGGGGGTTGTCCCCTTTGTGTTGTCGGACCACGGCGATGGCCGTGCCGGAATCGCGTTGCCAATGACCGCACGGGGATAGGAAAAAAAAAAGTTGTAATTGAAATAAAATTCTGCCGCGCAAAACCGAAACCGTCGGAGGTGTTTTTTTGTGTCCCCCTTGCGGATAGCGGCCGTGAGGAGTGCCCGAAACGCCGAGTAACTTGATGCAGGAAGCTGGCTTTAGGGCTTGAACTATCATCATCGTCGCCAGCAGCAGCAGCAGCGGTCCGATGCTGCACCACACGCGCTACGAACCCGGCAGAGACCCGAGTACGATTCTCGCTCGCGGCCACCAACACCAGTGGCGATTATCTGAACCGGTCCTGGGCCCCTCCCCTAGGTCGACTCGGCCTCAAATGAGTTACCTGGTGCGGTGTGCAGTAAACATCGCCACTGGGGGAGACAAAGGCGGCCGGGCGTGGTGGCTGGCCACCCACCCCCTCGTGTGCCGTTCCGGCCTTCGTAGGTGCTGCTAGCGAACGGCGCTTGCCCCAACAGTCTGCTACGCCATACGGGGGGGGGGATCTTTGTGTATGTTGGAAGTTCTTTTCGTGCAAGGCGTTGGGGGTGTTCTCTGGGTGTCTGCGTTTTCCTGCCTGCTTGTATAATGAACGCAGCTCGTTAATTGGCCCGCAAACGTCTCCAATAACAACCCAGTGTAGCAGCAGCAGCAGCAAGACCGTCATTGAGGGTCCCACCACTCGGTAGCGTGGCTGTTTCCTGAATAAATGATCATGAATAGAATATCGATTCAAATGTATCTATGTATCTGTTCGCCTTTTGGCGTTCCCTGGTCTGACACTGGTGAGACGAGGCCCTCAAGGAGGTTGCTGTCTGGTGTAGACCAATCGGTTTAAAGACAATAACATTGTTATCAACGCATGTTTCCATGTTCACAAGTAATGTGTGTGGTTAATACAGAACTAAGTTCCTTGCGAAAGCTAGAATCCATTTGGTATTTGAGCATCTTAACACCTGTTTTATTGCCAGAAAGGGTTAAACCTATTCTAATTTTACACGCTTTTTATTAACTCACTTTGTTGTATCCTCAAATCTTTTAACTCAATTTTACCCACTTCCCAATGTGGTATCGACTGCAAACTTGGTATACCTATGTCATACCGATGACAATACCATATTCTATCATTAAAAATAAATAAGATATTTTTTAACATTTTTTTTATGTTATGTTTCGGCTTTGGTCTAATTGTCCACGCTCAACTGACGTTGGCTGTAAATCACCACGGTCCCTTACGCTATGGCAAGCTTCGGGGCCAATTGCTGGAGTCGTGGAGTTCTTCCATTATTAGTACGGTACATTTCATTAAAGCGTGTTTAAAAAAAAATTTAATTTTACTTATTTTTTTGATACTTTGATATTGGCAAAAAGGTCCCATTTTGTAGCTGCTCACCCCGAGAAATGTTCTGATACGTGTGGCATTGTCCTTGTGCTGTTGGCCTTTCGATCTTCTCTGGTCTGGCACTGTCCAGGCCCTACAGAGAACGCCTCTGGTGTAAGCCAATCTGTTTCAAAGACTGCATAAATGATCAGAGCATGTTTGCATGTTCACCGCAAGTACGTGTGGCTAATGGGGACTCGATTCCTTGCAGAAGGCTTCTATTTGATGTTTGAACATATGTATCTAGATTTGAAGCTTTTGTGACTGCAGGAATCCATACTCTTTGGTTCTTTCAGTAAAATCACGTAGGTAGAAAATAAAATAATCACGTTTCGATTGCAACACAAGCAATCATCATCAGGTGGGAAAACCACAGCAAACGTGATTTATTTTATTGTATACCTACGTGACTTTACCGAAAGAACCACAGAGTATGTATCTATGTATGTTGAATGTATTTCGCCAACCGTGCTAATCGTAGGTGCGGGGAAAGGACGACAAACTAAACGCAACAACAATGAGCAGTTTCTAAATAACTGAGTTTTCACTCTTAAGATTTTAAACTGCAACAGCTCCAGTGGCGTCCGAATAATTGCACCTGATGGGGGATTAAAGACGCAGCTGCAGTGGTGCGATGATGGCCACGTGACCAAAACTGTGGATCGTGAAGGAAACACGTAGAAAATCTTAGAGATGCAGAGACCCACTATTGAGACCGAGATACACAGGATCCATAGACACGGATATACAGGACTCGGCGGGGGGGGGGGTGATGTAGTGACACGTGACGTCACTACTATGTCGGGTCTGCACACACATGGCGTCACTACCCTGGGGGTCACGTTGTCGGGGTCCGGAGCCTTCTCGAGGGTTCGAGAAGGGGGGCGTAGCCAGGGTGTGGCCGGCCACGCTAGAGAGGCATATAAGCGGGCGCCGCTGAGAGAGCGGGGCTGTTCGCGCCCGTGATGAAGACGCCTCGTGAAGACGAAGAGGTCGGGGCCAAGGCCCACGTGGCGGGGCCACGCTAGTTAATGTACCCGAGTGTAGTGAGAGAAGGTCGGTGGTCACCACCCTATGTATAGTGTGGGTAACAAATGTTAATAAAGTGTTGCCTCCACAGGGAAGTGTGCGCCTCAATAGAACCCATTACACAAATATCCCTTCCGCACTCCCGAAACACAGAACCAAATTAATCAGGAAAAAAATGTCGAGGTAGGGATTAACTAAACGGAGGGACTCGGCAGATCGAATATTCGATGGAAGTGAATGCTGCAGCTTGGGGACCCACACGGGAAACGACTCCCCGGGGTCACCCATTGAATGGAGGTGCGACCTCGGCACACGTGTAATGAGTGGCTCCCACACAAGTAAGTAACTTCAATATTTATTGTAAATCTTTGGTACAGCCACTCTCTCCATGGATGTCGACCCGCTCTCGTGGCTGCGCTCGCTAACACACCGCCTGGCTGGTGGCACGCTGGAGGTCGCGCCGCCACGTGGCAGGTGGAGATGGTGGGGCAGCAGTGACGGGAGCTCTTCGATCTTCAAACACCGACCCCGAACATTCCTATTCAGTTATTGGAGGCTAAACCCCGCCCCTCCTGGAACCTTCGAGAACGTTCCAGAGGCTTCCCTGGTAGATCCGCCCATTCACCTTTACTCCAGATAGAATCCCTACAATCAAAAATACGTGGACTGTATGATGTGTAATGTAACCCCCACAATAATACAGGAGATGGCGCTCTCTTATTACACAAGCAATAGTAGTAGATCACACTCAGAGGAGCGAACAACTCGCGGACGTAAGAGGGGGAGGCACGGAGAGTGAGAGATAAAATGAGAGAATGTGATGCGAGATCAAGCTATGAGACATCGTAAGTTCACTTGTCAATTGTTATTTCATACTTTAATATGAAATGTAATTTACGTTTATTATAATCTTGATTTGATGCTTTCGTGACTGCAGGAATCATTACTTTGGTTCTTTCGGTAAAGTCACGTAGGTATAAAAAAATACGACGTTTCGATCGCAACACAAGCAATCGTCATCAGGTGACATAAATGCAGCAGGAGAACTGCTGAGGCAGGATAGTATGGATTCCTGCAGTCACGAAAGCTTCAAATCAAAATTATAATAAACGTAAATTACAGGAGTATTTGTCTCACATTCATTCCTTTGAAATAGATTTCTGTTTATATGATTGTGGTTATTATTGTACTTTATGAATCCCTAACCTCTGCCATTACATACAATGAAACAAGAAAAGGTAAACAAATTAAAAACAGACCAATGTAATACAATACACTATTAGACATTATTGTAAACAAAACAAAATCCATCTTATGTGTTAGTGAATGTTTTGAAATTTTAGGCAGGAAATTCGTTTTTAAATCTAGATTTTTTTTTTTTCTGGGGGAATACCCCCAGACCCCCCTGGAAGATTCGGTCCCCCCCAATGTTGACTCCATGACTACGGCCTTGTCCTGCATAACAGGCGAGGTAGTCAACATCTCGCCGTGAGCGAGGAGCGGTGGCGCAGTGGTTGGGGCGCTGCACCACGAACCCGGCAGAGGGCCGAGTTCCATTCCCGCTCACAGCCAGCGACACCCACCAGGGAAGATCTCGAACCCTGTACCCTGGGCCGCCTCCCCTAGGTCGACTCAGCCTCAAATGAGCACAGCACGCGGTGGCGTGTGGAACGTTAGCACTGGGGGGGGGAGATACAAAGGCGGTCGGGCGTGCGTGGTGGAGCTGGCCACCCACCCCCTCTGTGTGTGTCACAGTGCCGGCAGCCTTCATAGGCGCTGCTGCTGCTACTCCCTGCTACAAACACGTCAACCCCTCATCAGTGCCCTACCTAATCACAGACCAATTCAGACATTATTGGTCACCACGTGCCCCTTCTCAATCTCAACGTTCATCCTACAAAGTCCCATCACGAATGGACCTGAAAACTCAATTGCCCCTGTACAATAATAGGGAGTAAACCGTACGGGTTGATAGCTATGCACTCACTCACCGACCCACTCACTCACCGACCCACCAACTCACCCACTCACCAACCCACCCACTCACTCACCCACTCACCTACCCACTCACTCACTAATCCACTCAGTCACCTACCCACTCACTCACCAACCCACTCACCCACTCACTCACCCACCCGCTCACTCTCCCACTCACCCACCCACTCACCCACCCACTCACTCACCCACCAACTCACTCCCATAACCGTCAACCCCTTCTCAGTGCCCTCGGGGGTAAACCGTGTGGGTTGACACGCGATGGCTTTTGCCTGCGGTGCGGAGTCATCCAGCAGTGGATCGACTCTGACTGCTGCCCGACCCCACCTCGAGGTGGGGGGGGTGGTAGGTGAGGGAGGGCACGTGACGTCACACCAAGGAATCGATTCCTCTTAACTCAACCCCGATTACGATTCCCCGTTTGGATAAATCGATTCGGAGAGATCGATTCTCGTCGTTAACTCGGGAATCTTCGGCGGGTTCACGCACCCCTCTCACGGGTCGCCAGCACGGGAGTGACGTCACTTTGCGCGGATTACATGACGTCACGCGTGTCGCACTGGGCTACGTCATTGCGCCACGCGTGTGGGCGAGATATAAACTGACGTCATCCCGACTTAAAGCTTTCGTGACTGCAGGAATAAATATTCTTGGGTCTTTCGGTAAAGTCACGGAGATAGGTTCAAAGAAAATAACAAAAAACGACGTTTTGATCGCAACACGAGCAGTCGTCATCAGGAGCTCTTTCCAATTAAAACATCCAATATGACGTCATCCCATCCACCCAGCTGAATGCCGTCCCCGCACTGGGCTATAAAGTGACGTCACTCCTCTGCCTAACTTTGGCTAAGGTGATGACATCATCGCACTGGGCTATAAAGTGACGTCACTCTGCTGCCTGACTAAAGCGATTATCGCAACGGGCTATAAAGTGACGTCACTCCTCTGCGTGGCTCAGGCGATGACATCATCGCACCGGGATGTAAATTGACGTCACTCCTCTGCGTGGCTCAGGCGATGACATCATCGCACCGGACTATAATGTGACGTCACTCTGCGTGGCTCAGGCGATGACATCACCACACGGGGCTATAAAGTGACGTCACTCCGCTGCGTGGCTCAGGCGATGACATCACCGCAGCAGGCTGTAAAGGGTACAAACTTAGTAATCATTGGAAAGATGTTATCAACCACGCAAAAAAGACTTAATTACACTTTTTTGGACCATCTTATCTGACAGGCACTATTTTACTTTACTTTACCGAGTGTTAACATCCCCAGTTGTTTTTTAACAGTACCCTCTTCATTGTTCAGCCAGCATTGGTATAAACATGGGCATTTTCGTTCTTTTGTCTATCATGTGTATCAGACCTCCCCTCCCCCTCTCTGTCCATTGTGTTGGCGTGTGCAGCAGCAACCGCGTCCAAGCCGTCGTTCAATTTTTTGGCCCCCCTCCCCCTCCCGATGAGTTGTACTAACATTCTGATGAGCTCCCCCCCCCCTCTCCTCCCCCCTTCAACTTGCTTATAAGGGATTACATCTTGAATCATTGCCTCACTTGATGCAGCTAATTCGGCTGTGACGGTCCCACCTGATGACGGAGACTTGTGTTGCCTCCGAAACGTTGTGATTTTTTGTTTTATTTTATTTTCATTAATTTTGATGTTTTACCTACGTGACTTTACCGAAAAAACCTAAGAATATGACTCCTCTGTGTATCTAAGACGATGACATCATCGCACCGGACTATAAAATGACGTCACTCCGCTGTGTGTCTCAGGCGATGACATCACCGCACCGGGCCATGGCGGACGAGGAGGACGACTTCATGGTACCGCGACCGCTGCCACAGACAAAGCGCCACCGTGTAGCCTCTAGCGGGCTGCGGGGGCAAGTGCTTTAGAGGATAGTGCTGTAGGGGAAAGTGTTGTAGGGGCAAGTGCTGTAGGGGATGGTGCTATAGGGGATGGTGTTGTAAAGGAAAGTGTTGTAGGGGATAGTTCTGTAGGGGAAAGTGTTGTATGGGTACGAGCTGTATGGGCAAGTGCTGCAGGGGATGGTGCTGTAGGGGATGATGCTGTAGGGGAAAGTGTTGTAGGGGCAAGTGCTGTAGGGGATAGTTCTGTAGGGGAAAGTGCTGTAGGGGATGGTGATGTAGGGGATGGTGCTGTAGGGGATGGTGCTGTAGGGGATGGTGCTGTAGGGGAAAGTGCTGTAGGGGATAGTGCTGTAGGGGCAAGTGCTGTAGGGGAAAGTGCTGTAGGGGATAGTGCTGTAGGGGGTGGTGCTGTAGGGGATAGTTCTGTAGGGGAAAGTGCTGTAGGGGATAGTGCTGTAGGGGCAAGTGCTGTAGGGGAAAGTGCTGTAGGGGATAGTACTGTAGGGGAAAGTGTTGTATGGGCAAGTGTTGTATGGGCAAGTGCTGTAGGGGATGGTGCTGTAGGGGATGGTGTTGTAGGGGAAAGTGCTGTAGGGGATGGTGCTGTAGGGGCAGGTGTTGTAGGGGAAAGTGCTGTAGGGGCAAGTGGCTGTGAGTAGGTGGGTGACCAGCACCACGCTCGGCCGCCTTTGTCTCCCCCCAATGTCGATGTTTACCACACACCACCGCTACACCTGTGTCATCATTTGAGGCTGAGTGGACCTATGGGAGCCCCAGGACCGTCTCAGATAATCGTCACTGGCGGTGTTGGTGGCAGTGGGCGATAATCGAACCTCGGTCGCTAGGTTAGCAACGGAGCGTAGCGCTAACCGCTGCACCACCGCTCCCCCCTCCCACACACATGGTGCGCTAACCACTACACCACCGCTCCCCACACACGCACAGTGCGCTAACCACTGCACCACCGCTCCCCGGACACACACACAGTGCGTTAAGCACTGCACCACCGCTCCCCACTCACACACAGTGCGCTAACCACTGCACCACCGCTCCCCGGACACACACACAGTGCGTTAAGCACTGCACCACCGCTCCCCACTCACACACAGTGCGCTAACCACTGCACCACCACTCCCCACACACACAGTGCGCTAACCACTGCACCACCGCTCCCCACACACAAACAGTGCGCTAACCACTGCACCACCACTCCCCACACACACACAGTGCGCTAACCACTGCACCACCGCTCCCCACACACACAAACAGTGTGCTAACCACTGCACCACCGCTCCCCACACACACACAGTGCGCTAACCGCTGCCCCACCGCTCCCTGGACACGGCAGATCCGCCACGGCCACCACCACCGTGGTCGTGACCAGGCTTGATCCACAGCTGCAGCTGCTGTTCTATTGTGGGGAGCGGTGGCGCAGCGGTTAGGCGCGCAGCGCTGCAAACCGGCCCGAGACCCGAGTTCGATTCCCGCTCACGCCACGAAGCGTCACCAAATGCGCCTGTGCCAGGCCAGGTGCACTTCGAAGCTACTGCGCGAAGTGTCGAAGGCTCGCTGCTGACAGGAGGAGGTCACGGGACAGACCCAGCAGCTGCCACGGAGGTCGACTGACCGAGTTGACTGGCCGGTGCACCACCACCTGTGCCCCCCCCCACCCCCCTACTGCGCCAACTCGCTGTGCTTTAGCCGCCCGGCGCTCCGCTTGTTGTTGTGAGCGTCGCTCCTCAGCCCTCCGCTGCTGCTGGAGGGCGACTGCCTCACAAATGCCCAGCAGCAGCAGCGTCCTTCACGAGCCTCCTCCACCACCACCGCCAGTGACAGCAGCGATTATCTGAACCGGTCATGGGCCTTCCGCTAGGTAGACTCTGCCTCAAATGAGGTACCGGTGCAGTGATGTGTAGTAAACATCGCCACTGGGCGGGGGGGGGGGGGGGGGATACAAAGGCGGCCGGGCGTGCGTGGTGGTGCTGGCCACCCACCCCCTCTGTGTGTGTCACAGTGCCGGCAGCCTTCATAGGCGCTGCTGCTGCTGCTACTCCCTGCTACAAACACGTCAACCCCTCATCAGTGCCCTACCTAATCACAGACCAATTCAGACCTCGTTGGTCATCACATGCCCCTTCGAAATCTCAACGTTCATCCTACAAAGTCCCATCACAAATGGACCTATACAAGAATACGGGGTTAAACCGTATGGGTTGACAGCTATGCATTCACCCACTCGCTCACCTACTCGCCCACCCACTTGCCCAATCACTCACTCGCTCGCCCACCCACCCTCCCACTCTCTCACCCACTCACTCACTCGCCCACTCACCCACCCACTCGCCCTCCCACTCTCACCCACCCACTCACCCACTCATCCACTGTTAATAGGCTACACGGGCGACCTTTTTCCTTCGTGGCTTTTATCCACGATGGAGTCGTGGATAAAAGCCACGAAGGAAAAAAAAAAGTCTGTTTCGTTTTGACGTCATCATTGTTGTTGTTGACGTCATCGTTGTCATCGTCGTTGATATCATCGTTAGCGTTGTCGATATCGTCATCATTGTTGATGTCGTCGTTGTTGTTGACCGCAGGGCGAGGAGGAGGGCGAGGAGGGTGCCGTAGCCACCGCCACCGCCTCCTCCAGCGGGCAGCGCGGACGACACCGCCTCTTCTCTAAAGAGCGTGAGCGGGGGTGGGGGTGTGTGAGTGCGTGTGTGTACATGTGTGTGTGTGTGTGTATGTATATGTGTGTATGTGTACGAGTGTGAGTGTGTGGGTGTTTGAACATATACGTGTTAGTATTTCGACCATCTAGTTCGTGAAGCCTTCGATGGCTGTACCGGAGGAATTTACATCTGGTACAGATAAAATGGGAGGCTGATCAATGCCCGGGTGCGGTCAAGGGATGGCTCCCTATTGGTCAACCACGTTATATATGCTGATGATCTGGTAATTGCTGCTCACTCAGCGGAGGGGTTGGAGACGCTGCTGCTGAAACTGGACCTTTCCACCAAGAGGTGTGGGTCCTTACCATCAGCCCCACCAAAACTAAGCACCTGCCTGGGTATTTTGTACCATCGAACACTCCATCCCCACAACTCCCAATCGGTGATGGGGCAGTTGTGGAGAGAGTGGAGAGTTTCCCATACCTGGGCAGTGTGTTCATGACCGGCTCTGGTTTAACAGCAGAGGTCTCTAATTCAGTCGAGTGGCAATATCTTGCCACTCGTAACGCTGTGTGGAAGCTACCTGGTCTGTCGCTCTGCACAAAGCTTCAGGTCTTCTTGCCCACGGTTATTCCCTCCCTTCTCTACGCTTGTGAAACGTGGACCCCCCTTATGGAACATCTTCGCCGATTAGAAACATTTAGGCTGGCCTGCCTACGATCCATTCTGGGTGTAACCAGGCTGGATTGTGTGACGAGTTTACAAATCCTTGAAAGATCTTGGCAAAGTCCCATCGGTGAGCTCCTCCAGCAGGCAAGGCTGCGTTTGCTGGGTCATGTAGCCCGCATGCTCAGCCACCGCATGCCTAAACAGCTTTTGTTCAGCCGGATAGAGGGGGCTAAACGGGCGCGGAACGGGCTAGAGAGGAGATGGAGTGATGTGGTACAGGAGGACGTGGAGCTGAGTGGACTTGCCGATGACTGGTACCAGCGATGTCAAGATCGGCCTCTGTGGAGGAGGCTCGTGAAGGACGCTACTGGGCAGTTGGAGGTAGTCGCCCTCCAACAACAACGGAGGGCGGAGGAGCGACGCTCAAAACAACGAGTGATCTCAGTCGACCCATGGCACCTGGGTCTGCCCCGTGACCTCCTGCCAGCGGGCATTCGACACTTCACGTGGTCTCCACGTGCACATAGCCTGGCACAAGCGCTGTGGTCACATCACCGCCACTGTGTGTGTGGGTTTAAGTGTGTGTTGTGTTAGTGTGTGTGTGTGTACGAGTAAGTTCATTTAGGATCAACATCACAGGTGCAGAGTATTTTGCTGCTCTAAATGTCCACGTGGTGACGATGTCGGCCGCTTGGTTGAGCTGCTATCATCTTGTGACGGCCACGTCGCTTCTGAAACCGAGCTACGCAGTAGCCCGGGTGTGGGGCCCCTTACCCTGGTAAAATAGAAAGTCTTATCCATCTCTATGGTTCTTTCGGTAAATGCACGTATTTATAAATTAAGATGAATCGCGACATTTCGGGTGCAACACAAGCGTCCGTCACCAGGTGGGAAAGCGTGGCCTGCTGCTGGGGCAGACTGTTTTAAAATGTTTGAAATGGGTATAGCCCAAGTGTCATAAAGAAGTGGCCGGGGCTAGTGATGTTAATGTGATAAATTAGCACATAACTGTACGATAGGAGGAGAGTGGCCTCCTGGACGAGGGCACTGAAGTGGCTATGTTAATGTGAGGGATTAGCATAATGTTAATGTGAGAAGTTAGCATGTAACTGTAGAAAATAAGAAGAGCGGCCTCCTCGACGAGGGAGTGCAACCCAACGGGTGAAATCCAAAGGGCCTGTGAGTATGAGAGGGCAATCCTCATGACGGACGCTTGTGTTGCGCCCGAAACGTCGTGATTTGTTTTATTTTATTTTACTGGAGATCTGTGACAGAGAGCTTCATGGCTGTTTGGATTTAGTTTTCCTCCTCCTGTGCAGTGCGCTGTATGATGTACGGATTTGGAGATGACCAGAACCCCTACACGGAGTGTGTGGATCTACTGGAGGATCTCCTCACAGAGTTCATCACTGAGACGGTGAGAGGTCAACACCACCCTCACACTCACCCACTTGGCCATTCACTCACCCCCTCTCATGCTCACCCACTCTCACGCTCACCCACTCTCATGCTCACCACTCTCTCACACTCACCCACTCTCTCACACTCACCCACTCTCTCACACTCACCCACTCTCACACTCACCCACACTCACCCACTCGACCATTCACACACTCATCCACTCTCACACTCATCCACTCTCACACTCACCCACTCTCACACTCACCCACTCTCACACTCACCCACTCTCACACTCACCCACTCTCACACTCACCCACTCTCATTCTCACTACACTCACCACTCTCTCACCACTCCCACCCACTCACACACTCCCACACGCACCCACTCACCCGCTCTCACACTCACCCACTCTCACACTCACCACTCTCACACTCACCCACTCTCACACTCACCACTCTCACACTCACCACTCTCACACTCACCCACACTCACCACTCTCACACTCACCCACTCTCACACTCACCCACTCTCATTCTCACCACACTCACCACTCTCTCACCACTCCCACCCACTCTCACACTCACACACTCCCACACTCACCCGCTCTCACACTCACCCACTATCACACTCACCCACTCTCACACTCACCCACTCTCACACTCACCCACTCTCACACTCATCCACTCTCACACTCACCCACTCTCACACTCACCCACTCTCACACTCACCACTCTCACACTCACCACTCTCACACTCACCACTCTCACACTCACCACTCTCACACTCACCACTCTCACACTCACCACTCTCACACTCACCCACTCTCACACTCACCCACTCACCCACTTCCACACTCACCACACTCACCCACTCACACTCACCCACCCTCACACCTACAGGGCTATCCCTGTCTCTCTCAGACCTACAGGGCTATCCCTGTCTCTCTCACTCTCTCAGACTCACAGGGCGATCGCCGTAGGGCGGCCCGGGCGGCTCCAGGTCGAGGACCTGGTGTTCCTCGTCAGGAAGGACGAGCGCAAATTCTCGCGCATGAAGGAGCTGCTCACCATGAACGAGGAGCTCAAGAAGGCTCGCAAGGCCTTCGACGAGGCCACCTACGGCACTTGAGGGCCGCGGCGGTCGGCCGTCGTGAACCCGTCATGAACGGGGGCCCGGTGGTGGCGAGAAGACGTTAACTAACTTCTCCTGGTTTGCAGACGGTCGTGGGTTCGATGCTGACCCTCACGATGCCTGTTGTATATTTGGAGTGTGCGTGTGTTTCCCCCCCCACCCCCTTCCCCGTGTTGGTCGCGTGGATTTGCTTTCCAGGTCCTAGGGGTTTTCCCTCCACGTCACGCATTCGGAGTATTTGGCTGATATACATTTCCACGTGATGTTAAGCCACCATTTCGTTAAGCTGTCTTTTGAAATAGTCAGGTCGCTTCTGAAATAGAGCTCCATAGCTAACTGGGCCTTACCTGGTAAAATAAAAAAAATGGTTTAGTTTACACCACTGGCCATCGTCAACCCAAACACCACCAGGCCATCGTCAACCCAAACACCACCAGGCCATCGTCAACCCAGACACCACCAGGCCATCGTCAACCCAGACACCACCAGGCCATCGTCAACCCAGACACCACCAGGCCATCGTCAACCCAGACACCACCAGGCCATCGTGAACCCACGACTGAGCAGGGGAGGGTCAATGGGAGGGAGTGGGTGGATCAAAGAGTTAATAGTGGCCGTGTCAAGAGACGCCTTGTGTTGAGGTTCTGGGTTCATGCCCAGGGCATCATGGGTCTTTCTGTGTATCTTATGGGGGTTCACAATGGACGTGTCAGAGACGCTGATCCAGCACCACTGCGATCCTAGGTTAAACGCCTGGGTGCCTCCCTCTACGTCCATGGCCGTGTCAGAGACTGCGAGCCAGTGACACTAGTTAAAAATTAGAATCTTTAAAATCTAAATCTTTTGTTTTGATCGGAGGAATCCAATGAGCTATGAAGCTCTTTTTACAGTTGTCCAGTAGAAGTCCTGGGTTCGAACGCCTGGTCTGGCTGTCTCAAGAAATTTGAAATGGTTGTGTGGACTTGACTTTCTTTACTTACTATATTCTGTGTTCCAATCTGGCGTCTGGGGGTGTCCCCATGTCTCAATGAGTCTGCGTGGCCGTGTCAGGAGACATGGTGGGCTTTTTTTTTTAAAGGTGCTAGGTTTGAGCCTTGGTGCTCTTCAGTGTCTCCAGGGAAGGTTCACAACGGCTGTGACGGAGACACCGAGGCCAGCACTGTTGCTGTTCCTTGGTTCAAGCCCTGGGTTTGGCCACTACGAAACTCCTGAGAGAGAGACCCGAGAAACATTCACGCCTATGGTTTGGACCAATGCATTCAATTGTCACCGGATCAGTGTTGCTGACACGGCCATTAAAGACATCCCCGATGGAGACGCATGGCCGTTGACTAAAGGATTGTGTTCCAGCTCATTCGCCCCCCAGCTGTGTAAGGACTGACAGTTTTTATTTTTCAATTGCGAATCGGGATCAATAAAAGAAAAGCTTTATATCGGAGGGAAGGCTGGGAGTGCATTTTGTGAAACTCAATTTTATTGTTTGTTGAACTTTTGTCGCACTGTGTGGAGCCAACCTTGCTTATCGGAGCTGCGGGGGGAAGGACGCCAAACTAAACGCAACAACAAGCGGTGCTAAAGAAATGAGTTTGTCAATCTAGATCAGGGGTGGGGAACCTTTTTTCTGCCAAGGGCCATTTGGATATTTATAACATCATTCGTGGGCCATACAAAATTATCAACTAAAAAAATATCCTGTTATATTTGCTCAAACGTTTAATTAACTCACCCCTAATGTGATGGTTGGAACTGCTTCGCTTTGGTGAGGTGTGTGATGTTAGCTGGTATTGATGTTGCTACTCGCAACTGCTTTTCCAGATTTGCTCCTAGATTTATTGAATTTCGAGTCCCGCTTGCGGTTGCCTTGGCAGGGCCAGACCAAATTATTTCGCGGGCCTTATACGGCCCGCGGGCCGGACGTTCCCCACCCCTGATCTGGATGGAGAGCTTTCCAGGCGGCCGCATAAGCGTATCTGAAAGCGCCACGCGATATGTTGACTACCGTCTTTGTGGGTTTAGTTCATTTCAGAAGGTTGTGGAGTTGTGTTGAGGTAAGATTTGAGCATGGGGATGTTTGGCCAATACCAGTTACATTGCATGGTTTGTAGCTATGTCTGTGAAAAGGAGTCTGAGACTGGATGAGCTCTTTATTTCTCCATCGCACAGCAACAATCGTTCCAAAACCAACCCCGAACACGCATCCCACAGCCCCTTTTAACCCCTCCATCTCCGTGCCCTCGTTCCCAATACTCGCCCTGCATGCCTCGTCTGGGTGACGTCATTGCCCTTTAACCCCTGACCCCCGTCTAGCGAATTCCCGCGCGTGTGATTGGTGCATGTTATAGTGAGAGCGGATATTTCATGTATGCGTGGTGCATGAGGGTGGCTCGCAGATCTCTTACATCTGCACGAATAAATGTTGAACTCATTTTGCACTGTACGTCGATAACCATGCAAATCGGAGGTGCGGAGAAGGACCACAAACTAAACGGCAAGCAGTTCTAAATAAATTAGTTTGTCAATCTCGATGATTTACAAGTGCACAGCTCCAGTGGCTCCCTAATATCGGAAGGAAGAGCGTTCCAGATGGCCACAAAAGTGCATCTGAAAGCGCCGTGATGATGTGGTGACCACCGTCATTGTTTGATGGCCAGCCTAAAGCCGCCGCTGCGAGGATGAGCGGAGTTCGTCTGATGATGGCTTATAGCTCCTTGACAAGATCAGCGAGGTATTGTGGTTCATTTGTGGCAAGCACTTTGCGCGTAATGGGTGCGACCTTATAATACATTCGTTCGGCAAGCACTGGACGGACACAGCCAGATCTTGTAGTAACCCATCACGACACGCGCCAAAGAATGTTGTATACGCAGCTTGGTAATGATTTTGGCAGAATTCCCGTAGATGTATTGAGTTGCAATAATTATCGAGCTTTGTCGATGCTACCCTACACAACAACCGTGTTAGCCATCACGACTCAATAGTGGTCAAATGTGTCGTAGAGCCGTGATCGGAAAATCGCAGAACCTGACGATATTTTTCACCTGGTGAGCAAACGACAGATTCTGATCCACAAATTGTACTGCCTGAACCCGAGTGCCAACCAGCAGAACTTCCGATTCTCCTGGATTACGCAGAATTTCGTTTAGGAGAAACCGCACGTGCACCGCTCGCTTGCACTATTCGAGGTTGCCGAGGCTCTATTTCTAACTTTGACTTCACTGCGGTGTACAATTATGTAATTATGTATCGGCATATTTATGGAATTGATGTCATGAGATGATAGGACATTGGCGTTGGGAGAGACGTACGTTGAAGATTGGAAGGGTCCGAGTAATGACCCCTGCGATACGCCAACTGGGTACAGCATAGGCGGTAACTTCATCACCCAGCTTAATGACCTGTGATCAACCATGTAGGTATGATTCAATCCACCCAAGTGCCATACTCCATACACCGAACTTGACCAAAGTTGCCCGATGAGTATCTCATGGTCGATGGTTGGCGAAGGGAGCTGAGAGATCGACGCCAACCAACGCTACGGTACACCGCTCATCCGTGATCTCAGAGGTCATCGGTGGTCTTTAGTAAGAGCCGTCTCAGTGCTGTGGAACTTCTGGTATGCTGACCGCAAAGGGGTTGAATCTGCAGAGACGTGGGGAAGCAACCGCTTCAGACGAAGGCGCTCTATGACCTTTGAAATCTTGCTCAGGTTTGAGATCGGGCGATAGTTTGCAGGGTCACTGTGGCTGAAGCCAACTTTTTTTGTCAGGAGCGATGTTACCTGCGCCATTTTGATTCGGTCTCGGAAACAGCCCCTCGCTGAACGAAAGATTTGGCAGGTGGACAATTGGTGGCACAAGCACCGTCCGAGCACGATTTGAGAATCGACGGCGTGGATGCACTCGAGCGGCGATGTCTTATTTGGCAGCCGTGCGATGAACATCGACACCTCTGCCAGGGTCTCGAGTGTTTCATTGATTCCAGGTTGATTAAACTCGAATGGCGGATGGGGAGGACGCCGTTGCTTTGGAGTTAGAAAATGCTGTCTCGATCGTCGCTATTTTATTGGTGAAGAATTGTCACGTGTGCTGTGCGCAGACCGGGTTGACTGGTTGATGGGTGGTCTGGAGTGCAGCAGAACCTTTCACGCCACGCCATAGAGCAGGGGTCCTCAAACTACGGCCCGCGGGCCACATGCGGCCCACCGAGGACATTTATCCGGCCCATGGTCACTAATTGGGCTGCGCTTGTGAGCACTAATTGGGCTGTGCTGGTGAGCACTAATTGGGCTGCGCTGGTGAGCACTGATTGAGCTGCGGCTGTGGGCACTGATTGAGCTGCGGCTGTGAGCACTGATTGAGCTGCGGCGGTGGGCACTCATTGGGCTGCGCTGGTGAATGGTTCAATGGGCCAATTGACTGGACTTGCCCCCCAGGCCTAAGGCTGCCAGCCCTCCCCTGGCTGCGCTTGACTGGCTCTGCCTCTCTCAGCTCCCTCCCTCAGCTCCCTCACTTGCCCCTCAGCTCCACTCCCAGTGATATTCCTGTGTGCTGGGGATCTACAGCACCGCTGAGTAAATGATAGAGGGGTAATAATGAAGTACCGGTGAAGACGCTTGACGCCGAGGTTGAGGCACACGTATATTTATTTCACAATACGACAGTGGGCATATACACACTCAAGGGGGTATCGGCCCCCTCACCCGTATAACTCGGGATACACCCCTAGCTAACTCTGTCCTAGCCCCGAATCCTCCACTAATGGGCTAGGGGAGGCTAACTGGCCCGACACTGGTAAGTCGGGCCCGGTACCCGGAGTTCCAGACCAGCTCTTACAAGAGCACCGGCTCTGGCTTTCGGGACCACGCCGCTGGCTCAGTCCTGTCCGGCCCTGAAAAGGACATCGAACTAGGGGAGTCCAGGGCTTTATCTAAGACGTCTTCAGTCTTCTTCCCTTAGCTTAAACATAACTGACTCGAGCCCTTTGAACATCCCCTTTTATACCCAACCCCTCCCTGAGGGGTGGGGCCCCGGGGGATCATAACGTTCGAACCAGCCCTCCCCAGGGTGTCTGGCTCGGACGTCGTAGAGGGCACCTCCTCGTGCACTTACGTAGCCCCGCCCACTGTGTTTGTTTTCCATAGGCTGCCATGCATAACGGGCCCTCTCTTTAACCCCCCTACAACCCCCCCCCCCCCCCCCCGCATAGCTTGCAGCCGTCCCGGCTGCCAACATACAAAAATGACAATAAAAGTGCATTTACACCTTGACCGCGCGTGTGCCTCACTATTTTTCAACAATAACAAGAACAGCAACAAGAACACAACAAAATGCAACAGCAAGAAGAGAAAACAACCCGACGCACCCCCCCTTGAATAAATACGAATTCCGTAAAAAAACCAACCTATATACAATTTGCAGGGAACCCACCATACACACAACACCAGGTGAACCCAACGTATGTACATTTCAATGGGCAGGGAACACACCACCCACACAACACACAATGAACCCAACATATGTACATTCAATGGGCAGGGAACACACCACCAACACAACACACGATGAACACAACCTATGTACACATCTTCCGGCCTCATAACAGTCTGCGCATTTTTGCGCGCGTCCTTGCCGCGGGCCCCTCACACGGGGTAACCCCGGGTGGCGGACCGTCAGGTGGCAATTGTCCGTCCCGGAGTGAGTCCTCATCCGATGCCACGCGACCGTCGGTATCCCCAGGAGGGGTGGTCGGGCGTGAGCCCGTCAGTCCTGATGCACCTGGAGGTGGCACGGCCGGCAAGGCATTAGGTGAGAACGACGGAGACGGACCCAATGAGTCGGTCGACCCCCCACACGTTTGGCCACGCATGTGTGAAGTGGGTTTGTGTACCGCAACGAAGGGTTTTAACCTAGAGGGGTGCACGAACCATCGCCGCTTCCCCCATTTAATGCGCACGCACTGTGGTCGCAAAACTTCGACCACCTCCACAGGGCCCTGCCACGGCCGCACGAGCTTAGAGGAGGTAGCCAGTGGCACTTGGGGACAGTGCAGCCATGCCTTGTCCCCCGGCTTCCACTATATCATGTGCGCCCGACCCAGCCTGAGGCGCTCATTCGCCTTTTGACGGAGGTCCGAGTTTAGCATTGCAGCATCCCGCGCCTCTGTTAATTTGGCCAGATTAAATTTGACGTGGTCAGCCAATTTAGTTTTCCCTTGCGGCTCGGGGATCTGCAGCTGGGCGCGAACAGGCGGGTCGGGTTCGCGACCGTACATGAGGTAAAAGGGGGAAAATCCCGTAGCTGCATGGGGTGCCATCCGGTATGCCGCCAAGACCCCTTGAATATGCAGGTCCCAGTCAGTCTGTGAGTCCGAGACCTGCTGTGACATCATTGACGTAATGGTGCGATGCAGGCGCTCGACCATCCCGTCAGTTTGCGGGTG